TTTTGATTCTTTGATGATTCTCATTAGGTTGTGGTTAATTGATGTAAAATACTGCCATTCTTTTGCTCTTCTGTCTCTCTTCCTTACTTTTCTTCATTCTGTATATATATATATGTGTTTTACTTAGTCTTGTTGTATGTTAGTTGTAGTTTCATTTATTAAATCCCTTATATTCACAATTGATTGCCTCTGGGTCTTTCCCCCATTATCAAGAAGATGGTAACCAGATCAACTCTCTGGTCTCCCCATCGACTTCAAACACATTCCAATTCCAGTCATCACAGTACCTGGCACCAGATGTCTGATGGCCAGCGAACTACCCCCATGCTCGCAATACACATAACACACACATAAAGACATTTTCTTTATTTAGACTATAATTAATCAGTTACAATTGAATCTGGTATATGCATGTGTTGATTGTATGTTTCCCTATTATATTAGCCTAGTTACAACTCTTTATTTGTATTAGTTAGACTCTCAATGCTTATATTCAGGTATATGAGTGTATCTCTGCTTTAAGATTTTCTAGATGTTTCGTTCTTGGTATCAAAATGATCTGCTCTGTATTCCTCAAACAATGATGTACACTATGTGATCGTGAAATGCATCATACTATTTGTACCATATTTTGGGTAAAACCGCACCAATCCTCCAGACCAGCAATAAACATGCTAATGGGCCATAAACCGAGACAAAGAAAGTTTCTCCCGCTCAAAATTCATGCCTCCGATTGGCCATCCCACCCAAAAGGTGGGTGTGGATAGGAACTTTCAAAAGTCTTCAGCTCAGACTAATCTTGGCTCAAAAACCTCTTCTTCTTGAGACGGACACTATCCAAGACTCCTCAAAACTCTCCTCTTGACTTTGATTTTCCGGCAGTTTTTATCTTCAAGTAACTTTGTCGATCCGCGGTGGACTTTCCTATCTTCAGAGGAACCAGAGCAAAACCTCCAGCTCACTTCTAAAAGAACTCATCAAGAACCTCCGTTGTCTACCGCATCAGGACTCTTGTTCAGCAATCGAAGCCAATGAAAGTAACCGTTTACAACTATTTAGATGCGTGTTTAAGTTTGAGCCCGTTTTAAGGTGATTTTTGATTCTTTGATGATTCTCATTAGGTTGTGGTTAATTGATGTAAAATACTGCCATTCTTTTGCTCTTCTGTCTCTCTTCCTTACTTTTCTTCATTCTGTATATATATATGTGTTTTACTTAGTCTTGTTGTATGTTAGTTGTAGTTTCATTTATTAAATCCCTTATATTCACAATTGATTGCCTCTGTGTGCTGCTCACAATTCGGGGTTACTGAATGTTGAATCTTGCTACATGCTAAATTACTGCTAGTACCGCATAAAGTAGGAAAGTTACTGTTCCTTGGCCAGGAAAATAATCTTTCCTTGAATTGATAAATTATTATATTGTCTGCTCGGTGGACGGTCAGATCAAATAATTGTAATATTGATTCTGTTACAGTTAATCAGAATCAGAATGAGCTTTACACATATGAGGAATTTGTTTTGGTGACAGAAGCGTTCACAGTGTAACAGAATGACAGTGACAGAACAAAAAAACACAGATAATAAAAAATAGAACAAGTAAATAAGGAATAAAAATATACAAATCGACAATTGTATGTACAGGTATATAACAATAGACAGTTGTATGTACAGGTATATTATGTGCAAATTGAAATGTAGACTGAGTATGTGTGTTAGATAAATAAGTGTATGAGTGAATAAATAAATAGTGTGTGTTCCACAGTTATTGTCAAGTGTTCATGAGATGGATTGCCTGAGGGAAGAAACTGTTCCTGTGTCTGGTCGTTCTGGTGCTCAGTGCTCTGTAGCATCGACCAGATGGCAACAGTTCAAAGAGGGAGTGTGCTGGATGTGAGGGGTCCAGAGTGATTTTGCCAGCCCTTTTGCTCACTCTGGATGAGTACAGTTCTTGGGGAGAAGGGAGGGTTGTACCAAAGATTCGCTCAGCAGTCCGGACTACCCTCTGTAGTCTTCTGAGGTCAGATTTGGTAGCTGAGCTGAACCAGACAGTTATAGAAGTGCAGAGGACAGCTTAAATGATGGCAGAGTAGAACTGTTTCAGCAGCTCCTGTGACGGGTTGAACTTCCTCAGCT